AGAGACTTAAGCCAAGAAATTAGCTGAACATCAGAGGTTAATAACTGAACGACTCCCAGACTCTGAGTTATTGTCACTACCTGCCTAATTATGTCTGATAATATATAGATGAATCGATGAAGAAGTAAATCCATGCTCTGCTGTTCTTACACAGCAACCCACAAAAGCAACTTATCTGAAAAATAAACAACAAACGCCTTATCGTTAACTAAAAGGCAAGAATTTATTCAACTAAACTACAACATAAAAATGAAAATAAAAATGTAATAACTGAAAAACTATGAGGAAAGAAGAAATTAGGAAAATTAACGAAACCTAAACACTAATGACCAATAACATAATGCTATCACACTTAAATGTGATGTCTTTATCTTTAAGCAGCAAGGTTTTTGATCTGGAAACGCCACTGTTGCCAATAGATGTTAAAGATCCCCTTATGGAAATGATGCATGTATGTAAATATTTTAAAGTTTGTATCTATTTACATTGAAACATGTAATGCATCAGACATTAAAACAAAATACAACATTCTCTGCAAATTTGTAAAAAAAAATAAATGTATATGATTTAACAATTTATGAGTTATTTCACTTCCAATATACTTAATTGAAAAATATTATACTTAACTTATATGATCGGCCAGTCATCAGTGACACTAATAATTAAATTAAATTAAAAAAATATAGTTCAACAAATTTACATCGATCTATCCATTCATCCATTTTTTCTTATCGCTTATCCCTACTGGGATCGCGAGGGATGCTGATGCCTATCTCCAGCTGTCTGCAGGCGAGAGGCGGGTCCATCCTGGACAGCTCGCCAGTCCATCGCAGTGCAAAACAGAGACACACAGAATGAAAAAAACATTCACCCCTAAGGAGAATTTAGAGAAGCCAATTGACCTAACAGTCATGTTTTTGGACTGTGGGAGGAAGCTGGAGTACCCAGAGAGAACCTACGCATGCTCAGGGAGAACATGCAAACTCCATGCAGAAACAGCCTGGGCCAGGAATTGAACCCAGAACCTTCTTCCTGCAAGGTAGCAGTGCTACCCACTGCACAACTGAGCAGCCCATTCAACAAATAATTTAAAAAAAATTATTATGTATGAAAATTAAAATCTAATATTATGATAAAAGTACAAAAAAATTGCATTTTTTATTATTGTGTTTGATGACGTCCTTCATGCCTTAGGGCCTGGTCTAGCCTCAGTCTCAAGTGAAGTAGAGTTCACTTAATGATAATATTAATTGAACTTTATTGATCTTACATTGGAGAAATTTACCTCTGCATTTAACCCATCCCCTTGGAGAGCAGCGGGCTGCCATCATGTGGCACCCTGGGGAGCGGTGTGGGGTTAAGGGTCTTTGCTCACAGTGGCAGTCTGTGAGAGTGGGGCTCGAACTCAGAACCTCAGGATTTCATGCTTTATGCCCTAACCACTAGGCCGCCACTCCCCCATTTTGCTGCAAAACCTTTTGCAAAGCTTTGAGTCTTTCTGATAATATTCCATTTGACTTTCGTAAGTCACTTTTTTTTGTCCTATTTCTTTTTAAACTATAATTTATGCCCATGAGGCAGGAAAAAACATCTTTTTATTCAGAATGCACCTCAGACCTTATGTCCTAGTAGTAAAGCTGTGACCCTTTAAGAAATCTGACATGAAATCAAAAAGTCATGAATAATGATGAGCTGACAAGAAAGTCATGAAAACTGCACCGCAAACCTGTTCTATATTAAAAAGTTGTAGAAAGTGACAGGTGTAATTTGAAGAGCAGAAACGCTTTATTATTATAGCTGAAGAATCAATCAGAAATAAAAAGGTATTGACAAAGAAAACCATTTAGCTGCTGTCCTTCAGGCCAGTTCCTAATGTCTTTCAATTTGCTGCTGTCAGTCATTTGGCCGTCACTGATTTCACGCTTGTCAAATGATGGACATCTCATATTGGGGCATAACTTTCTATCCATGCATATATTTTTGGTGACAGTAGTTAGATGTTTCCAGAATGAAAAGTTTTAGAAACTTTCATCAGGCAGCCGTGACTTTTTCTGCTTCTTTATGTTTCCTGAAAGTTGAAGACTACAAAAAAAAGAAATCTAAATAAGTCATTTTTTCCTGCAATAAGTGCATTTTTTCTTAAATTGAGGAGGTGATTGAGAAACTTTGCCAATAGAACAAGAAAAATTGCATTTAAAATAAGAAAAAACAATTGCATTGTCTTATTTCAAGTGCATATTATCTAATTATCTTATTTCAAGAGTTAAAATACTCATTCCATTTGCAAATTATCTTATTTACCTACTCAAATTAAGGGTAAATACACTTAATTTAGGACATTTTTGCTAATTTCTAGATCATTTTTGCAGTGTAGACCCCCTTCAATGCAAATAATCACTTTGGGTTTAATTTGTTGTTTCTTAGTCATTGTTTTTAATTTAGCCTCAAACAATTGTTAAAAAAATAGATATTTTTTGCCTGTCAGTCCAAACCAAATGGATCCTAAACTAAACTTGCACTAGATGAGCTCATGAGTTCAAAGCCAACAAGCTTTCAATTACTTTTAGACATTGTTAGGTGTTTTTATGCAGGTGTTTGTTTGTTTTTAACCTTATTTTAGCATATGATTTAAAATGTGAAGCCACTTCCTTTGTAGAAGTCAATCAGATGGGAAGCTCTGGTTTGATTCATTGCGTTTAAAAGCTTTGATACAATGACAATGAGATAAAACCAGAATCTATTTAGTTAAATTTTACTAAACCTTTTTGAAATTTGTTCTTATTCTCGAGGTTCAAAAAAGAGGAAAAAGTTAATTTTCCTGCAGAATAATCAAAGTCCTCTACAACTCTAGCAAAAACAAAGAACAAAACCCGACACATTGGCAGAGGGGCTATAAAAGAGGAGGAAGACAGCAAAATGCTCCATATCAGAGATTCACCAAATTTTCAGCCAGTGACCCAAAAAAGAAAAACACAACGGGGTTTTGACCTTCCAGACCCGGGGTAACCAATTAAAAGCCAGCGTGGTCCGCATAAAGAAAATCAACTACCAGTAAAGGTCCAGAGACATTTTTAATCTGTTACTTTAAACAGAATTTAACACTGAAATAAATTGCAGTTGTTTATGCAACATTAGATTTTTGAATAAAAAATATAAAAAATAGAATGTTTTTCTGTTTTAAAATCTAAATTGTATTGAAGTAGAGAACATCAATCGTTCAGTTGGGTATACAGACAATTACCTGATTCACATCTTTTATAAAACACCTGAAGTGACGTTTTTTTTTTTCTTTCTTTTTTCTGTCTTAATGTTGGCAGTGGGCTTTATGCTGCCCTGCAAGGCTTTAAACCTGGGTTTGAATGGAGACTAAGCCATTCTAAAGCACGTATCAAGGTGCTCATTTTGAGCCTGGATCCATATTTATTTTTTAATCTGTTCATAGTGGAGAATCCTGCTTCACAGCAGCAGGTTGAGCCAAACATCCTCTAAATGTGCAGGATGATCTTTGAGCACGCCATTTTACTTTTCTTTCTCTAGTTCATTGCTGTTCTTATATATTTCCCATCACCCGGCTTGCCACAGGTTTACCTGCTGTTTATAAAAAGCAGCAGCAGCAACCCAGACTGACAGCAGCTCATTGGATCATTTGTATCACATGTAGCCTGGTGCCGAATGCTCCAGAGGGCTTTACCGTATTAACAGGAGAAGCAGCGCAAGTGAAATTGGACACTGTCGTCAGACAACATGCAGTAATATAAATGTTTTGAACCAGGTTGGGTCTGGATCAGCCAGCAGGTGGATCTGGATTCGGACCGCAGTCCGATAATCCGTGACCTCTAGTCTAGAGATACATACAAATACTTCTTTCTCTATTTATATATAAAAAATCAAATGAAAAATTATATTAATTTTAAAATATTTTTTTTAAGACATTAGATTATTTTATTCAACATCTTAAATATTTTTTTTATTATTTAATGGGACATTTAATTATTCAATTGTGCATTTTATGGCATATTTCATTTGTTCAGATACATAAATAAATGTTAGATCTGCTTATTTTTTGGTAAACCAAGTTATTTTCTAATACATTTTACCCATCCCTATACTTTAGCTATTACATCAAAATGATTGTGAAAACCATCTCTAGGCCTACTTGGTCTCTGGTGACCCTCTGGGGGATCCTGGGAACCCGTGCTACTTACATTTTCATACAAATGTTCATATTTTCTCCCTGTCCAAACCTATCTATTCTGTTATAGTTAATTTACTTTACTTTATAGATTACTACTGCTGAAAAGATTTTGCTCAAACTGTGCATCCAGAACTTCAGAAACATGACAAATAAAACAAGAAATGCATCTGTGGAAGCAGGAACAAGCTACTTGCTTCTAGTGGAGAATATATCCGCCTTTAGAAACAGAGATATTCAGTTTTGGATCAGATGTTTTTATGCAAATGGGAATTTTTTCACATATCCATCATTTGAAGGGCGTGAATTATATGAGTGATATATTGTAAATAGTAGGGTGATCCATTGATTTGCAGGATGGACAGAGGAGGAAACAGAAGACATGTTTGGTCAGAATGGACCAAAACCAGACATCAGCACAAAGACGTCATAGCAGCTGATAGTGAAGGAGTGATGATGCAGATTAACCAGAATGGCTGGAAAAACAAAATGAAGGTTCTCCAGTTTTTAAAGCAAATACTTCAAGGTGCTGGACCTTGATCAATTGGCTTTCAGAAATTGAAATGCAAAAGTCATCATACTATAAATATTTTTTTTATAAAAAGGGAGCAAAGTTCCTGAACTATGATGTGAAAAAAAGTTAATCTGAAAAAGACCACTTCAAGTTGTAAATCAAGTTTTTTCCCCCCATTGATCCTGTTAATATCATAATAAACTATGACTGTTTGTTGAAAGCCTTAGAAATAAGCGAGAGGTGAGGAAAGAAGCGATTCATCCTTCTAAGTCCTGCATCGTTTTCTTTTTGCAGGTGTGTCTGCTGGAGTGTGAGGGTCACGTCTCCACTTCACTAACATGGGAAGTGTGCAAACGTGCTGTAAAGCTGTCCCACCATCCTACGCTGGCTGAGGGGGGCACCCTGTTCAAGAGAGGAGGACAGCAGCTGGACCTGGCCCCTCTGGACCTGAATGCTGGCACTGAGGTGCTGCAGTCTGCAGCTGCTGAGCAGCTCCAGGAGGAAGATCAGGATGAGACACCCTGGGATCAGCGCAGCGTCCAGTATGACTCATCACTGCTGGGGTCCTCAGAGGAGGGGGAGAGCCTGCAGGGGCTCAGCCTGACAGATGAAGAGGTGAACCAGAGGGAGGAGAGGGGCTCTGAGAGCGACGGTCAGCTAGGAGGGGAGCAGGATGACAGCTCTGAGGGGGTCACCTTATCCAAGCGCTTTGGTGGCTTCCAGAGGGGGCGCCACGGATACAGGAAGCTGATTGGCTCCCCCATGAGAGCCCTACAAAAGCGCTACGGCGGCTTCATCGGCGTCCGGAAATCTGCCCGCAAATGGAACAGTCAGAAGCGGGTGAACCAGCTGCTCAGGCAGTACCTGGGCATGAGGAGCAACCGCAGCGGCCGGCTCCCCATGAACCGGGTCTGGAGGCAAAACAGACTGTGAAGCGTTTCTGTTGCCCCGGTTACCTCAGCACACCCACCTTTCAGTTCTCAGCAGGTCCCTGGGTTTGAACTGTGACGTCAGCATCGTGGTCAGAACCACAGACTCTCATCCCTCCACGCGCCTCTCTTTGTGTCCCTAAGTAACAGCGAATGTTTTGATGTCCCTCCTATTTAACACATCTACATGCCATTCTGTGAAATAAAAGAATTAGAGAAGTGCAATTGAATATATTTTTGTGTGTCGATATAATAAAATGGGGCCAATTGACACTGGAAAAAACTGGCTGATTGTGAGGTTTTTCAGACTGAGACGCTTCAAAACATATATGCACTAAATATTAACACCCTGAGGGCCTTTTCACATTCTGTTATATTAAAATCCCAAATTACTGTGTAATTAATTGAGAATTAATGTGTCAGACCAACAACTAGTAATTTATAATTGGGAAGTTACAAGAAATGAAGATAGAAAAAGAGGCAAAACAAGGATTTTTAATAAAAACTGAACAGTTAACCTTTTATTCAAATAAATCTTAATTTAAAAAAACAATTTGCCTTACTCAAAAAACTTTCTCAAATAGCATTGTGAAGCTTTCAGGTCAGGGATTAAATAAAAGAGAAGGTTAAAGCCAGGTTAGTTGTGCACCATGGGCGATTCTAGACAGGGGCCAACAGGGGCCAGTGACCCTGTAGAACTGGACCCATCATTTGTTTTCTTTACAGTTCTGTTTTAATTATGAGTTAAGGCTTTATTATTTTTTCAGTCGTATAGAGCTACGATCACAGTTTCACAGTTTTCATTTGCTAAATTTTATTGTGAAACAAATAGGCTATAAAAAAAACACAAAACCCCAATTGCAGGTTAATTTGGAGTTTTACTTGACTAATTCTGATTTGTTTAAAACTTATAATTGTCATTTAAAATAAGTCAAAAATCTGAAATATTTATGAATGATGAATGTATCTTGACCTAATTTCCCAATGAGTAGCTTTATTTTATCTTTTAGAAGATATTTATTTAGCGACTAATTATTTCTGGTAATTTTGTCTTTAAAGGGATTTTTAATTTTAACATTTTGAAACCGAAACCACAATTTTCCAAGTCCTATATTCAATCAGTGCAGAATCACAAGTAGCTATTTGGTTATGTGGCTCTCTTGATTTATTTTAAATTATAATTTATTGCCCAGTTTTTTGTTTTACGCTTTTTTATGCCCCCAATGAAAACACACTGGCCCCATCCTGGGTCCCCTCGTAGATCTAGTTTAGAACCGCCATTGTTGTTCATACATACCACAGGTTTGAGCTTTCTTTTATTGGGAATTTAACAAACACTTGGGCTAGAATGGTCAAATAAGATTTTGCATAGAAAATACTGTGTGATGGGAAAACTGCACTGCACTGAAAACATGGTGGTGGCAGCATCATGCTGTGGCGATGCTTTTCTTCAGCTGGTCAGAGCTGATAGAATATGATAGTTTTATCAAAGCCTGGTGCTTTTCATCTATTCTGTTATTCTATGCTGTATATATAGATGGCTCCAGATTAAGGCAGATCACTGAATTTAAAAGTTTAATAATTAATGAAAAAGTAAAAATGTACAACTAGGCATGAGGCGACAGAAGCAGCATGGACGCAGCCAGACTAGGAAATATAAGCAAAGTAAAATTCTGCAGAACTGAAGAGTTTATATAATAAATGAAAATAAAACAGCAGGTGGGACAGAGAAACTGATTGCCATGACACAGGTGGACTAAATGAAGCTGATATTGTTGGTGGTGGCTGAGAGCAAATGACTCTAATGAGAAACAAACAAAAAAACATCAAAGAAAAACAAAACAGCTCTGATGAAGCAAAGAGAAGCAGATGATCTCTTTCTCAATCCAATCAATTCATACAGTATGTTGTAAATAGGAGTAGGAAGAATTTCAGTTTCATGACAGGCAGAGCCGTAGTTACAGCGAAAGGTGCTTCTATGAGCCACAGTGGTGGAATACAAATCCAGCCCACAATTTCCACCTATTCAAAAAATAAATAAAGCAAAATCATATCTCTTCCATCAAACCCTGACAATAATCCAGGAATTTTCCATTGATCCTGCTACATTGTCAAGTATGAAAACCCAAGACGAATAAATGTTTTTGCAGAATCTGGGGAAGCTGTTTTTTTTTTCCACTATGCAGCATCTATAGAAATGAACTCAATATAACGAGTAGAAAACAGGTTCCTACTTTCGAAACTAATCCACACCTTTAACCTAACTATAAATCCCAAGTTTCCCAAACGTCAGAGTAGATTTAAGTAATTCAGTTGGAAATGAACCAACTCTGTGTTTCTTAGATAGCTCAATTAGATGTAAATAAGGTTGGACTGTGGGACTGCTGAAGCGCAAACACTTAATTACTGCTGGGAGAGTCCAATTTTCTGCTTAAAGAAATTTAATTAATTAAACACAATGGAGATAAAATGGGTTTTCTGAACTTTGTAAACTCAACACAATCAAACCAAACTGCTTGCCTCTGCTCTGCAGTGTTTAGAATTGGTCGTGATGTGCAGGTTTTCCCTGCCAGCTCTGCACACTGTGGGTCAGTTAAAGCAGAGGAGAACAGCAGGTTGGCAGGCTCTCTCTCTGTGGAACATTACTGCCCTCTAGTGTCTGAAGCATAAACATGCAGCAAACACAAACCACTGTCCTCATGCACAGAGTAACTTGATAAATAGCAGAAATCACTGAATTGTGATAAAAAATGTTACATATTCATTGTGATTTTTTTATTTGAACTCTAATTGAATTTTAAAAGGAAATTTGTCCAGCTTTATTTAACCCAAAATAAATTTCAGAAATTTTTATCCTATCATTTCTGTTCTTAGCTTCTCTCTTTTTATCAAAACACAACAGTTTATGAGAAAGAAAGCATTGCAGTCTATCTCCATGCATCACTAAGCGTCCAAAAGCACTAAAACAAATGGAGCTGAAAGCTTCCTGGATCATGGCTGGTGGGCTGCGCCAGGATATGAGAGAAGTTCAACAAGATGAAGTCTAACTTACCGCCATAGTTAAAAAAACAAACAGGTTATATAATTAGGTTAGAATAAGTTAATATCTTACCTGCAGTAGATACTTCTTTGGCGTCTTCATTTAGTTTAGGTTTAAATTGGTTGGCTTTGGAGGGTAAAACTAATGGCTTTATAAAAACCTCTACTTTTAAAAGTGGTTTGTGCAAATGGGATTTTTACAACTTATAATTTGGTTATGAGTCGGAATTGAAACAGAAGGTAATGAATGTTTACACACAACAATAATAATAATAATGATAATAATAATAATAATAATAATAATAATAATAATAATAATGGAGGTGATGCACCATCAATTATTGCCCTCCATGAAACCTGCTGCTACCAGAACATACAGGCTGCTTCTGGGAAAAGAAAGTACTGAACAGAAAATCCAGGCAAATAAAAAAAGCGATAGACTTTGATTTCGTAAAAATGCTGAAATATTAGAGATTTTTACTTTGTTTAGTTTTATATCAGCTACCCTGACTGTAAACTGTACTGTTATCAGAGGAACATGTTCTGGGTTATAGATTTAAACAAATATAAATCAGTAAATTAGTGTATACTCATGCTAGCATTATTTTATGGATTATTTATAGAAAACAACCCTACCTGTTCTGAATTTGTGTTATTATTATTAAATGCTGCACCGCCTCCTGTTGTATTTTCCCATGATAAAAATAATTAGCTGCTTTTGAATACCTCACCTTGTGTCTCCTGCATCGTGTTCCCTATTACTTCATGGGGTGAACCATAAAAACATCCTCTGATCTAAAGGAACTCGCCACTGCATTGTTTAGCCTTACTACATGGGTATGCAACAGAAAGCACCTATATGATGATAGTCAAATTCGGACCACAGCCTTCAAAAAAATAAAACTACAAAAAACAAAAGTAGCTTTAAAATACTGTGATCAGATTGAGCCATTGACTTCTGCTTCAGTGACCAGATAAAACCGAAAGACAGAGCAAAGGGTTCTTAAAATAGCATCTGAGGTTTTAGGCGTTTCCAGACAGAAGTCAAGAAGAAACGCTTAGGGAAGGGCTGTTAGCTTCATCCTGGAAGAACATTCATGTGAAATGAAAACGGCAGACATATAATCTAAACAAGTATTATCTGCTAAACGTGTTTAAGATCTAGCCAAGAAGTCTTTTTGACCTTGTTTTAAGATTGATATACTAAGAGATTCTAATAGATTATTAATCCTCTTTTGAAAAGACTCTACTAAATAAGAGCAATAATAATCTGGAAATCCGGTGAGAAAACTGCACTTTGTAAGACTTGTTTGGAGAATATGTCATGTTTTTAAGAAGTCTTTCAAAGTTTAATTGTCTTACCGGTAGATTATTGTGCTTTCTTTTTAGAAGAATTTTCTCAACAGAAGATTTATAATCTCACAATCTGCTCTTGATTTGTATATCAATCAGAAAACATCCATCCATCCATTTTTCGTCACGCTTATCCCAGGTGCGGACACAAGGGGTGCTGGTGCCTATCTCAAAGTGTCTACAGGTGAGAGGCGGGGTCCACCCTTCAGTCCATCGCAGGGCAACACACAGACAAACAATCATTTATTCACACCTAAGGAGAGTTTAGAGAGGCCAATTAACTTAAAAGTCAAGTTTCTGGACTGTGGGAGAAGGCTGGAGTACCCAGAGAGAACCCACACATGCTCAGGGAGAACATGCAAACTCCATGCAGAAAGACCCTGGCCCATGAATTGAACCCTGGACCTTGTTGCTGCAATGCAGAAGTGTTACCCACAGTTTCCACTGTGCGGCACAATCTGAAAACAAACAAATAAAAAAAAAGACCTTACGGATAGTTTTTATTATTATTGTTGCACCGATACCGATAACAGTAAACACCAAAATGGTGGTATCAGTATAGGTGAGTACCAAAGAATAGGGCACCAATACCATTCTGAGAACATTTAACTATTGTCACCCATTCCAGGTAGGCAATAAAAAGTTCTAGTGGATTCACTTTGTTTTAGTCTTTTTCCTGCTTCACAAAGGTAGGCAGCAGCTTGACAAAGCAATGATGGTAATTATTTTAAATCCAAGTGGTATGCAGTTCTTCATATATATATATATATATATATATATATACATCAATTTCAAACAGATGGTATGTGTATCGGCAAATACTGCACAGCCAGGTATCGGGGCAGAAAAAAAGGCATCGGCGCAACACTAGTTTTTATGATTGTAAGACTTGGTTAGATGGAGAATTTCACTTTTTTGTTTTGCAATGATGAACAGGTCGTTTTGCAGCTTAATGGTGTTGAAGTGTTTGCTAACCTTTGATTAAAATATCCAGTGTTCCGTGCTAATGGCTGTGTGTGTGGGTGACTGCCTCAGTGTTGTTTTAGAGATTATTTCAGACCATACCTTTGACTTTTAACCATTTTCTGTCTCCCTAAAAAAACATGGAAAGAAATTCAATAGAGAAAACCTAGCAGAGTTTTTTTCTCGTTCACCGTCTGCTGAAGAAAACGAAACAACGTCAGAAATTCTCAGTGCTTTTTATTGTGTTGGACAATATATTTTCCTCTAGTACAAACTCATTCCCCTGCTATCCCCACTCTCATGACTCCAAACATACCTTCACGGATAAAACCATTAACACTGGTTGTGCGCCGACGTGCGGGCAGGAAGGAAATCAGCTTCATGGAAGGAACTTGGTTGAGTCGAACCAAAATTAGCTTATTCTTGTGAGTCAATATCCCAACAAAGTGCCAAAAAACATTTAAAAAAACAACATCAGTCGAGCCCCATTACACAGGCTGAACGACACGATAGAAAAACAACAAAAAAAAAGGTATAAAATGTTCGTACGGAAATCAGAGCACACAATATAACGTACATCATAACCACTGTGTAACCACTGGAAGAGAATAGACTGGAAGAAAGGAAAGGTAGCAGTTTGAGGGTTCAGTGGAGCTACAGGGGGCAGCGATATGACCTTTGGATATAAAAGGAAAAGAGGGCTTATTACATCACATGGTCAAAGTCAGTCAACAGCATCATCGCAAACTTCAGTTTTCAGGATCAGGATACAAAGATACACAAAAGTCCATCTGCATTCCTTTTAGGAAACAAAACAAAAAGTAGAAATAAAACACAAGGAATTAGCTTTTTCTCAAAGGCTTTCACGCCCTGATTTATATTCTGGTCTTCTCTTTTGATAAAAGTCTCTGTTCACACTCATCCGTCATTCCGCCTTGCTCTCTGTCTCTGTCACTCGGTGGAAGCTAGTCAGGGAAGCGCTGGCAGGCCTTTTTCCAGCGGCAGGCGGTGCACCACTGGTCCTTGCGCTCCACTCCGTATACCTTGCGGCACTTCTTGGCCTCTCCGCGGCCTTTCCTGCAGCAGGACACAAACAAAGTACTATTTTAGAAAGATGCATCAGTTATGGATTAAATCAGGGGTCTTTATCGTTCTCCAGGCCAAGGATCCCAAACTGATGGCGAGATGGAGCGGGGACCCCCTAATTATATATATAGTATGAAATAGTGTGATATCAAACTGGTCCTATAGTCACTCTAATACAGATGGAGTAATGTAACTAAACTAATTTCTCCCTGGGATTATTAAAGTATTTCTGATTCTGATTCCTCATTGATGGGACAGGTGTTGTGAATGAAACGGTGCCCAGCTTGAAAGAGCTCCTGTGAGTCGCTGAATGTGAGCATTGATGACTGAAAGACATCTTCTGCCTCCATTTATCTGTTTACTACAGTGTGTTGAATTCATGTTAATGTTTATTTAAAGACATTTCAATTAGTGGAAAGAATAGCAGGGGGATTATAAAAAAAAGTCTAATCAATAAAAACTTTCATGACCCCCATGCAGTACCTCTGAGGACCCCCTAGGGGTCCCTGTTGAAGACTTCCATATTAAATTATTCTTAAGTGAACTCAGAAGCGGTTCAGACATTGTAGGACGCATCACTTCATCAGAAATGATATACTGCACTGGAAAAAAAAAATCTAAATTTAGATACCGGTAAGTATTTTTTTCTTAAAATAAGTCCATTTGTTCTTAGATTAATCAGATTAGATTAGATTCAACTTTATTGTCATTGCACAGGTACAGGTACAAGGCAATGAAATGCAGTTAAGATCTAACCAGAAGTGCAATAGCAGCAAGTGCAGGATAAATACGGTAATGGTTTTATAAATACCGGACTCTACCGAATAAATATAGAGATGAATACCATTATAAAGAGAACCTTACTAATAGATGAATATAGTATATAGATAAATAGTGCATTGTCTTATTTCAAGTGCATATTGTCTAAGTATATTATTTTAAGAGTAAAAATACTCATTCCATTGGCAAATTATCTCATTTATCTACTCATATTAAGGGTAAATACACTTAATTTAAGACATTTTTACTTATTTCTAGATAATTTTTCCAGTGTGTAAATCAATGCAGAAATCCATTTTTCTTGATATAAGTGTATTTACCTCTGAAATGACCAAGTAATACAACAATTCCCCTGTGAAATAAGATGAATTACTTAGAAAATAAGAAAAAACAGCAACTCAACTATCTTATTTCAAATGCTTAATATCTAACTAAGCTATTTTAAGGGTAAAAATACTTATTATGTTAAAGGCAAATACGCCTATTGCATTATTGCAACAATAATAAAGCAAATTTCCCACCTTAGCCAATAACACCCTTGGTAAAACTTTCAAGGCAAACCTCTGTAGCTTTTTTCAATTAAAAACAAAGGAACTCAACTGCAAACTACAGCTAATGATTTCTATCACCTTTCAGTTGTCTTTGGTAGAATTCAATCAGCCTCCACATCTGGACTGGGCAAGATTTGCTCATTCAACCTTGCCAGGTGTTAATACCCTGGTTTGATTAAGATATACTCTATGGTATTTATTTTTTTTTGCAGACTTCAAATCTTTATTTCTAATTAATAAACTATCATGTATGTTAATTTTTACGCTGCAAAAAACATTTCTAAAAGAGATTTATGGAACACTAAATCTGAGAGCAAAGGGTTATCAAAATTTAAATAACTTCACTGGACAAGATTTCTCGTCTTGCCTCTAAGCAGGGCGGAGCAGTGACAGACCTCCAGATTACGCATCCCCTGTCACCTCTTTGCTTCGCCCACTTATGTGGTGTTACTTAGGCAGTGATGTTAATCACTGAGAACTGTTCCACATCCAACACTACTCCTCTGAACATCATCGTCCATGTTTGTCTTTTACAGTTGCCTTTTTTATCTCTGCATCTGTTTCCTTGAACCCCAGTCGGCCTTCGGCAGATGGCCGCTCACACTGAGCCTGGTTCTGCTGGAGGTTTCTTCCTGTTAAAACTAGTGTTGCACTGATACCGATACCAGTATGGGGCGGGGCCCCAATCCAGCACTAAAATGATGGTATCGGTATAAACGAGTACCAACAAATAGGGCACCGATACCATTTTGAGAGCCAAAAGTTTATTCAGCTATTGTCCCCCATTCCAGGTAAAAAGTTCTACTGGATTCACTTTGTATTAGTCTTTTTCCTGCTTCACAAAGGCAGGTAGCAGCTTGACAAAACCATGATGGCAATTATTTTACATCCAAGTAGTATGCAGTTCTTCATATATATATACACACAAATCAAATTCAAACAGATGGTATCAGTATTGGCCAATACTGCACAACCAGGTATCGGGTTAAAATTGAGTTTTTCCTCTCCACTGTCACTACAAGCATACTGGTTTTCCGTAGAGAGAAAACTTTTAATCAATTTCCCTGTATGATCTGGTGAACTGTAAAGCGCCTTGAGATATAGAAATAAACTTAATTGAATTGAATTCTCCGTCCTTCCCCGCAAAAAAGGGAAATTATGGAAGCCGGCCAGGTTCAGATCCGCAATTGCAATCGCACCAAACAGGAAACAGAAAGTCAAGAAGATCCGGTTGGTCAAATTAAAATATGGTAACGACAGATTGGTACCTACAAATTAGTGCATACTTTCATATATTCCCAAAGAAGAAATGGACGTAAACTATTGGTATTTCGGGATTTCGGGGTAACTTTAGCGTACTGTTGCTGGCACCATTGAGTTTCCAAGAACAGGAAACAAAAACTGTTCTACAATGAAAATGGCTGGAGAAACTTTATTTTTCATCCTGAGGAGAGACAGCAAGGAGCGCTGAGATTGAACTAATGGAAAAAGGAGACTTGGCTCTGGTGTGAGCCTACAAATTAACAAAGGATCCTGGATAGGTGTTGAAATATCTTAATAAACTGAGTGAACTTCAGGTTGACCTTCAATTTAAGCTTTATTTTTTATTTAAAAGGAGATTGTGGAGAAGAGCTGAGAAATAAACTCTTAGATACTTAAATTGTTAGTTTGCAGACACCTCAACACAGTTCTGTGTGTAGTTGGCAATCAAACTTTAGTCTGATTTAAGTAAATACATTATCTTAAATTCCAGGAATGCTGTTTTTTTTCTGTATGCCTGTGAAATGGGTATTAACTTTTGTTCTAAGTGGTCTTAAAAAGTCTTAAACTTTTGGAAACTTGCTGATGCTTTATTACCTGAAGGAGCAGTGGGTGCGGGAGGGAGACGCACTCATTGGCTGCAGCCTGTTCTGCTGTAGCCACTGTTCCCCGACACTGACAGAGCGACAGCGAGGCTTTACCATCTGAGGAGGGAAAAAACCTCAGGATTAACTACTGATATCCTGTTATTTAGGAAAAAATGACTACTGCGGAGTTTAGCTTTAACTGTAAGTAATAAAGCATGGAGGGAAAGACAAAAGACCCACTGGAGTGTTACTGTGGCCGGATGCTGAGGCTGCGGGGGTCCAACCCTGGCTGCATGGGCTTCTGGGGGCCACAGATACCTGGACAGGGCTGCAGGCCTGGAAGAGAAGAGGAAAGGATTCAATCAAACCAGAAGAACCTCAGTCTGGTTGATGACATAAAAAAAATGATTCCCGGTTTTAAATAAAATTAAGTATTCAAATTCACATGTATATACAAATATATATTAGTTAATGCATCAAACATTTTCTACAGCATTCATGAGAAGAGGAAAAAACCTGGGCAACACTTGGCAAATTGCCTATAGAAACATCTGCTAATAGGGAGCATCGTCTTGCTATTACTCTGCAGTAAAGCACAGTGATGGCTCGGTCATGCTGTGGCTTTGTCTTTTGAAACATTTATGAAGCAATAGATCAGTTGATGATGCAAGCAAACAAGTCCCCTTATCCTTTAGGAGGCCTAGTAGTTGGGGAGTAGAGCATCTGCCTCCTGGAGTGGCAGAAAGATCCCTGATTTTAAATATATAGACTTCCCTCTGGGTCCCTGAGCAGGACCTTTAACCCCAGAATGCTCCCTAAGGGATGAGTTAAATCCAGACCAAATCCTCAGCAAGAACAGCAGCAAATGGCCTTTCCTGGAAGTCATTAGCATTTGCTAGATGATGTCAGCAAGAAAGAAAGTGATAAACGTGGAAAATTACAACTTTATGAAATAAGTATATTATTGAAACTTTTTGTAATGTACTTTGCCTCAACCGTTTTTTTTATAAAACAATTATTCATAAACAGTCTTGTTGAACCCTAAATACCCAAGTTGTTAAATAAAAGAGATGCTAATATTTCTCCACCAGTTATAGATAGCTTCTAATGCCAAAAGTGTAATATATAAATATATTAAAGTTATCTCCTTCAGAAGTTAGATAAGCTGAAGGAGAGTTAGTCAGGATAAAAAGTAATCATCTTGATAGTGTGAGTCACAAAGTTAGGAGAAAAGGATGGGAGGATACGGGTCAAATATAGGTAGTAGTAACACATTTACTCAGCCCAATGGCCCGGTGTGAGAAAGGAGAAAATGTCTTTAGAATTGTGGAGAGCAAGGAGGTAGACTGACACTTATTTACTCTTTCTACTTCCAACAAATGAGCCCAGCTCTGTAATCCTGTAGGATTTATCTGCTAAATTTATATTAAACCATGTTGAAGTTTAAGTCCTGGTGGAGAGTTTTTACTTTGAGAAGAGGTGATTTTTAAAGCGTTATTGACAGAGTGATCGCTCCATGTAAAAGAGCTGGGAATGAGCTAAGAGTGACTGAGGCTCTGTGGGAATCGAATGCAGGAATTGAGCTATATTAAGTTTACATCCTGCTTTGTAATCCAGGCCAGGAGCAGCAGTAGCTGTCCACATGGCTGACTCATTTACAATGGAGAAATGGAGTGGAGTGGGTCTGTTGTTGTGGGAGGGGCTCCCAGCAGCACTCACTGCTCGCTGAAGACCGAACCTGATGACAGACTTAGACTCAACTTTATTTAACCCTTCGGATTATTCCTTCAATTCAATTCAGTTTATTTATATGGCGCCAATTCACAACACATGTCACCTCCATGCACCAGATCATCCAGTCAAATTGATTCAAAGTTTCTATCTAAGGAAAACCAGTTGATTGCATCAACTCATTGACTCAAAGGCAGTCCCTCACACTAAGCATGCTTGAAGCGACAGTGGAGAGGAAAAACTCCCTTTTAACAGGAAGATGAAGAAAGCACATCCAGCCAGTCACAGTCGGAGAAACAGGACTTTACTGAAAAACAGGCTGATCTCCATCATCTATAAGCAAAGATGTTGATGGCAGCAGCTGATATTTCTCTCCAGGATGGAGTCACAGCTAAACAGGAAAATTCTGGTTCCAGTAGCATATATATAGTACAAAGAGTTAAAAGAAGATGCTATTAAAGATAAAAAGACGACAGGCAATATAAAAAGAGTGTATATGGTAACAAAAAAACATAAAAGAAAAAAGTTGTAATTTGTGTAATGCAAAGAGATTAATACTTTCAAATGTTTTCATCAAAGAAGTTCATAAAAGGGTCAAAAAAGTTCCCAGATTATTATTATTATGATTATTAATAATCATTTCAAACGATCTGAATCATCAGAGCTGCTACACACACAGTGGTGGAGGTATTACCTTCAGTTACATGAGAACTGTAAGTGTGTTCTTTGAAAAGCTATAAAAGTATTAATTAGGTTAGGAATAAATTAAAGCTTTATCTTTAATTTTTACTCATTACTGAAAAACTTGAGCATATCTCTGGTGGTTATGATGTGGATTGGACAGAAAACAGGACAATAAATTCCCACCTGGACTGTTTTCTTCCCTTTGAAGCACTAACAGGGACAGGAGCAGCCATCCTGCAGATCATTAACTACACTGATTCTCTGTGGGCTTGTTTAAATTAATCATTATCTTTATTTTTAACGCCCAACAATGGAGGGCTTAGATAGTTTTATGGACTTTATTCTGTTACACAGTTGATGGACATCATGCAGAGCAAACACACAACCACAGATAAAAAAAAAAAAAAAAACTTTTGATGGTTTCCAGAGTTGAGATCCACAATCCAATAACCTCAAACATAAACAGGCAAATCGCTGCAAAAAAAACAGCCTGGGAGTTTTTATTGCAACCAGTTGTTTTGACAAACAACTCAATCATCATCAGTGATCACTTCCTTTGCTGTTAAACCATTATCCTCCCGGTGCAGCGAGCCGCTCTTTGAAGAAACACGGCACAGACTGCCTCACATCCCATCACAGCGAGGGCAGACAGAGAGGACTAAAATAGGTCTGCAGAACAAAGCATGATAAAGTATTAACTGTGTTAACCCAAGCATTAAAAGGGAAAAAATGTCTGGATAAAAGAGAAGGCCTGCTCCTGTGGGTACAACCGTGCTTATAGGAAGATCAGAAACAGACAGCAGCTGAAATTAGGAGTAAATTTGAGAGATATACAGTTTGGTCTTTAAATATTGCCCTGATGTTAAAAAAAAACAAACTAAATAGATTTGTTTTTAGCTTCTTAAAGAAATAGGGACCTGGCTTCAGAGCCGGCTGTGCTTCCCACAGTCAGCAGGCGTGTTTTTTCCTGCCGTTTGCAGGCTGCTAGGAGTCTGGTCTGCCCCAGAGAGGAAGCTGCCGGCCGGCTCGCTCTCTCTCTGTCACAAAGCATCCATTTACGGGCTCCACGGCTCAGGGTAAATGCAGGTCACCAGTGAAATGTGCTGCTTTGTGATGCATAAACAACACTGCAGCTCATTGGCTCGTTAGAAATGCTGTCTGCTCTGGGTAGGAAGGGAAGGGGGGGGGGGTGTCGTCTGGTAAGCAGGGCCTCTGAAACGGCACAGCCAGCTCATAATATTAGACTCCTTCAGAGCAGAAAACCCAACAAAAAAGACAGTATATGACAGCAGTTAAAAAATAACAACCCAGAAACATTAAGCTTGGACTCCCATAAAATTCATATTCATTAATATTTTCTTCTTCCATCTGCTTCAAAATTCTCCTTCCTAGAAGTAAATCAGTCTTTTCCCAAATAAAAATACTTTACTGAAAGCAATGCTGTGTTACTTTCAGCCACTAGGGGCACAACAAAAAATAATTATAACCAAACTTCAGGAATATTACGGGTGCCGCCAGGTTTGTTTGGTGGATTACCTCTAGAGAGCAATAGTACCATAGATTGTCACTAGCAGGCGAGGAACTGTGCTAGTGTGATGTGTAAACAGATGTAAGGAACCGAGCTCGGCATGGTTAACTGATCCAATCTCAGTCCGAACTCAGAACGGATCGGTTTTCAGAGGGTAGTGTAAATGGGACATAAGCTAAGTGTGAGACCTCTCACAGCAGAAAAACATAGTAGACGTTAGCTAATAACACAACAGTCGCTGTCACTGCACAGATTAGCTGCTAAAAGAGCCACTTTGTCAAAAGTTTGAGCAGAACTGATCGTGCCCTGCCTGGTAAAAGTGCTGAGAGATCAACGTAGGTGCTTCCTGTAGGAGTTGGGTAAGTCCCTCTATATGTAAAACGTTTATGCCTACTTTTTTTCCTGTTTTCTTTTTGTACGATATAGGTCTGTCTAAAAACATGTAGTGGACTATAGAATCTCAAAAGGGAACCCATCATGGTCCTGTCCAAATAAGAGTGACCTTTCATTTCCTTGGGTTAGGCCTCCAGTGAACTGCAGTGCCAGTGATTATTGACCAATGGAGAAAACATCAAAGTTAGTGATGAACTATCCTAGGAGAGACAATCTTATACCCCTTTACCACTGGCCAAAAAACCTTTTTAAACCAGGAAAAAGTGACTTTTAGTGGCAGTGGGAACAGCTCACTGACACGTCAACCGACTCAGCAAGCGACTCGTGTTGAAATCGCCACGGCTCTGATTGGCATGCAGTGAGAACACCACTAAATGACATGACACCATTGAACGCAACATACGGATGTCAACACACTGCGCCAGTCGCATGAGATCTAGCAAACCAAGACTATTCTGTCTACATTTGTTAAACATGGCGCAGGGCTGGTGAGAGGGATTCAGATAATAGAGTATACACTGGCTTCCTTACATGTGGGGGGTAAGCGGCGTCCCAGCAAGCCTCTTTTTTGTCAGTGTGAAGGGAGCCAAATGCTGATGGTAAGTGGGTTGAAAACACATGTAAACCCGGTACTTTCATTGGGAAAGAGGCTTTTGTAACTCCAAAACTCATCCAGGAGGTCCCAGAAGAGCCCAGAACAACATCTGAATAATTTCACCTCCATCTGTTAAAGGCAGTACATGATTCAACAGTTGGAAAGAGACTGAGGAAATACCAGCATCCAGGACAGAGTTCCTAGGCCCAAACCACTCCTTTTTATGTCTATTTACAAAAAACCTTCACATTCTGCTCCCCAACTCTAGATTCCACTACCACTGGACAACTGTAATACATTCTCCCTTCCTTTGTTCCAATCCAGGCTCAGAACCCCTGCTATTTTATTATCCTCAGTTTATTTTCAGTTTTGTAGTTTTCTGTACATACCACACTGCTGCACCCACCTGATAGAGATGCTCAGTGTGGATCTGCCAGAAGCTGCTGGGTGCCGACTGGCTGAGTGGACAGGGCCGGCTCGGACCTGGCAAAGAGCTGGAGTTGGACCGGGGCCTGTGAGCAACAGGGATCTGGAGGTCCGATCCTGAAGGAGAACCACACGAAGCCCAGCCAAGAAAAGCAGGAGAGAGCTGGCCTGGAGTCTGCTGGGCGGGAGCAGGTGCAGGACTGGCCTCCACGGTCTCACAGCAGATCTTGGTGTAGTAGAAGTCCTCCTCTCTCTGGGACTGATCTGATCCACTGCTGCATGTGTATGGCAGGCGACACATAGAGACAAAGGAGTGACTTGTCTGTTTGGAGAGGTACTTAAAGCACCACTCACTGTGGCCCAGATATAAACTCTCACTTCTCCTCAGCAAGTCAGAGCTTTTTAGCAAGCTGAAAATTTCATTCCCTCTTGTTTTTTTAATGCTGTTTTGCAGCTGAGAAATGTTTTTAGGGGTGAAACTGTCTGGTTTTCTCACTCAGGCTGCATGGTGGTCAAACAGTTTGCACGCACACCTCTGACATTAGACTGCCTCATATCACAACAGAACTACAGCAGTAAGGAGATAAAGCAAATAAATCAAAACCATGTCATTATTTCCCCTATTTCTACCATCCAATAATACATTTCACCTATTGATCAAAATTAATGGTAGAATTTAAGTATTTTAGGTTGATGTGAAAATAAACAAGCAGTTGATTTAAACTGATTAAAAACTAAAAAATTTGGCAAGTTCATGGATTCTTCACTATAGTTTAGAGATTTTAGTTTTCTGTTGGAGGATTAAATATTTAGAGGAATGAGAACGTTTTAAACTACCATAATTGGACGGCTGCTGGCTGCTTCTAAAGTAGCTGAAATGGTTGTTTTCCGTTCACCAAATTAGCCCCATGGGGACGATGTATGTTATGAACATGGATGCCATGATTGGAGATTTTGTGGCCGGTTACACCAATTTTTGTAACGTTCTACCATGTAAGTTTCTCCAGTAAAGAGTTCATTTCTATACATACACTAGAAAATAATTTAAAAAAATCCTTCCTTTCACATAACTGGATATTTTACTCATCTTAAAAATACATACACATATTTATAATAAAATAATTCAATACAAATCTTTACCATAGAGACTTATCTAGATGTTTTTTTGCATACTTGAAAATATAGATAAAAAGTAATATTTAGGGTTCAATTGTACTAGGGTACAATCATTTTGTAAAATGTTTGCAATATACAGAAATAATCTTTTTGGATCCTTTTGGCAATAGCTCTGCTAGTTAGAAGAACAAGATTAGCCTTGAAAAAGAGGCTGTGAGTGCATGAAACAATCAGATCCAGAGAGCATATTAAGGAATCTCAGTATGTCAAAGATCTCCATTTCTGCTCCAAACAAAGTTGCAAATGTGGCTGATATAGTTGTTTCCTGGTCTTTCAGGTGTAGGAACCAGATTTGCTCTGGTGAAACCTGCACCTGCCAATGACATTGCTTTGGCTTAACATTGCAACGTTGACGTAAAACACTACAGTTGGTCAAGTATCACAACATAATGCGGCGCATGGAGCACCTGCAGTGTTGGTGTGTCTAATGATCCATGACGTTTTTAAAACTGAACAGACCTGTTTTTGGTGAACTCAGTGACTGCAGGACTATGGTTTAAAGCAGAGGTTTAAACTATTCAGCTTCTGACAAAATGGGACCAGTCGACTGATGACCCAAACCACTGGTTGGGTAATCATTTAACAACAGGTGTAATAATTTACAAACACATCAATAGTTGGTTTTGTCAATTTGTAGTAATGCTTTAAGTTATTTTAGCATTTTAACATAAATGTTTATTTTTTAGTTTATTTTTTTTTTTCTGAACTGGATCTCTAGACCTCATGCTGGTTGATCAGGAACCCCAAATTGGGAATCGTTGGTGTAATGGCCACCTGTGTAATAACTTGTGTAGCGCTTCGGCTAGCTTTGCCAGGTAGCTAACAGGTTAGCCTCTTTTAGCATAGTCAGTTACCCAAATTAAAGTGCATTATAACGTCGTATTATAATTACATTATAAATGTTGTTTTCTTTTACTAAAATCTCCAATTATTTTGTGATAAGCTCCATTTTTCTTCCCCTGTTACAGTTTTGAAGCTAAAAAAAAGATAGCGGAACTTCTTCAGCTTCAAACTTTCCTGTGTTCCTCATGCTGGTGTTTAGTGTTAATGATTAGCTTGATAAATATGGTTAATATTACTAACTGCCCTGTAGCTTTTATGCTATTTTTTTTCTAATATTAGCTTTAAAAGCTTCCTCAATTCAATTCAATTCAATAATACTTTTTTAATCCCAAAGGGAAATTCAGTTTCAGTAAAGTACATTCAAGAAGACATGAACGCAACACAGACATTACACATTGGGGGATGTGGTTTTACAAGGCCTTGCTGCCATTAAAGGCGCTGCCCTAATATGATTAGGATTACTTTCAACACTGGGTGGTCTTATGCAGTGTAGGCCAATAGCTTCTTTCTAGAAGATTCTCACACACGTTGTGTTTTATCAGACTGTGATTGGAAACACTTTACATATACTGACTACAGCTAACTTTGAATACTCTTCCTCTTGTAACTTCTAAAATCAGAGGGTTGTTGCTAGCACTCCTGTTAGCGGTTAGCTAAGGTGCATTCACTGAGTTCACAAGTTTTCAACCAGATGTTAAAGGCTACGTTCCCACTGCAGGCCTTGATGCTGGATTCCAATTTTTTTTGTGAAATCTGATTTCTTTTACGTTGCTGTTCACATATCCAAATATATGCGACTTGTATCCGATCTCCTATGTGAACTGCATTCATACAACTTAAGTGTCCCGCATGCGCAGTAGAGGACACAATGACATCACAGGCCTGTGTGCTCTGTGGTTACGGAAGTAAACATGGATGGTAGTGCTGGAGCGCATCCAACGATCTTTCCCCAACCTTAAAAACTCTTATCTTTTCAATATGGTTAAACATAAATACTGCTCTCCGAATTATTGACCACTATGGTTGTTGTTTTTCTTGCCGCTTTTGCATAGCAAGATGCAGAAGAATTAAATTTGTCAGGTATTAATGGCGTACAGGTCGGATGAATGCGACCTGGCTGTTCACACACAGGTTGCATTTGAAAAGATCCAATTCGTATCAGATTCACGACTAGAGAGCCAAGTGGCCTAGGTCGCATTGGAAAAAATCGGATCGGAGTTGTTCAGACTGTCATGAAAAGATTAGATACAAACATATAGGCAAAAAATTGGATTATGGTCGCTTCAGGCTGCAGTGTGAACGTAGCAAAAATAAGGTCACATTTATTTAAAAGAAAAATACGCAGTCTAAAAAACAACAACACAAAACACAGGTAGCTAGCATGGACAAGATTCAATCAAAAAGGAATTAATTAGTAAAGGACGCAGCAACAGAAGCTATCACTGCTTATATGTGGTGTGTTTAGTGATCAGAGAAAAGACCAGACTAAAGTTCACTAACTAGTAAGATGTTACATGTTTAAAATGGGCGCCGAAGACAAACAATATGCACCAATGTAGTAAACAAAAAATCTACGATTCGGTGCTGAAAGGACAAAGATGAGACAAACAGGAGTTCTCTGAAGAAAGAGCAGCATCAGCATTAAGAAAAACACTGCAATCAGGACACACATTAGGAAAACACAAGAAGAGAAGATATGTTATACGACTAGAAATGGGCAAAAATGAGGCAGAAAAGATATGAGTGAAGATAAATTAAGATTTTTTATGTACACAAGGGAAAAACAACATTCACTCCATCTGTGCAGCTTGTGGTGAGTGTTAAATAGTGTTGCACTGATACCTGTATCGGGCATGGCGCCGATCCAGCACTAAAATGGTGGTATCGGTATCGCAACAAATAGGGCACTGATGCCATTTTGAGAGGCAAAGGTTTATTCAACTATTGTCACCCATTCCAGGTAGGCAATAAAAAGTTCTACTGGATTCACTTCGTCTTATTAGTCTTTTTCCTGCTTCACAAAGGAAGGCAGCAGCTTGATAAAACCATGATGGCAATTATTTTACATCAGAGTAGTAAGCAGTTCTTCATATATACACACAGACATCAATTTCAAACAGATGGTATCGGCCGATACTGCACAGCCAGGTATCGGGAATCATGTCCGGGCCATAAAATGGCATCGGTGCAACACTAGTGTTTAAACATTCATAGAGCAATTATTAGGGGATTAAGCCCTAACTATATTCTCGGCCATTCACTCTATTCATGGAGGTGCCATTTTAAATGGTTTTCTTCTTCTGTGTTTTACCAATTAGCTGGAGTCACAGTGTGGGAGGAGAAATTACTGTTATTAAGTGTTAAGAGTGGAAGCAGTAAAGATGTCCGCTCACCCCAGGTGCATGACACGGATGTGTCTTTTTATTCCAACAGAAGACGTTAGCACTTTCCCACAGCTGGGCCATAGACACTTATAGACACTTCGCAGAGCGCTCTGTAGGAGAAAGAACAAACAGAGGTCAAGTAGGGGGCGTGGAAGGGGACTGCAGCCATTTCTGGGTAAATGGTTTAACCCAGGAAAGTACCTTTGGCTTTTTGGCAGTGAGCTCCCCGCCCTGTTCCAGCTCCATGTGCAGACCTTCATCTGGGCTGCTGTCCACCTCGGTGACAGACGGCGAGGGGGCGGGGCTCACGCTGCCATGGTCCCAGCTCCAGTAGCCGCTGCTGCCGCTGTCAGACAATTCGCCGCCGCCGCTCTCCATGTCGACGGATGAGGACGATCCAGCTGCAATAGATGACATGTTTTTGTTTGGTTTTTTGTTTTTCAGAAATGCTTTCTGAGCCATAGGGTATGTCATTTTTTTCAGTGGCAAATGATGTTTCCTCCTCCACAAAGTCAACACTAACTATCTACCTAGAGGTATTTTGGGAAAATAAAAATAGCTTCTTTGCAGACTGGGTGTGAGCTTTGCAGCTTCTGCTGTGTTCACCCTACAGAGAACAGCAGGTGTCTCACACTGGTTGTGATTTGCAGCTTTTGTTAAAGTGTTCAACAACACAGCAGCATGTTTATTATTCTTTGCTCTATTTTCCGTTCATTTAACAGGATTAATCTTATTGTTTTTACTCAGTCAGTTCACAGATTCCCTGCAACAGATCAACAATGAAGAAGCTTTTTAAGAAACTAACAATAACTTAAAGGTATAGGGGAGGATGTTCTTTTTCCGGGTAGATCACCAAAATAAGTGGTCCTCCTAATTGTCAATCATTCTGGTGATAAGGTGGTACCACATGCTCATCCCCATTTTCACTTACCGGTTATGAATCAGACATAGTGGAAAAATTGCAAATCATCTTTAGGAAAGTAAGCTTGTATGAGTGATGTAAACAGCAACTTTTAAACAGAGCGTGCACCAGGAGAAATGGGCTCATGCACACTCGTACATTAAGTGTTCCCTCTTGGGGGCAGATACAGGGTTGTGCATGTGCAATTGTTTTGTTTTTTTTAAGTGGAGTGGGCAGGTCTTTTTCAAAATTTGTAAAGATCCTCTACTATATCTTTAATAAATATGCAAATCAACAGTGTACTTAAAAAAACAAAACAAAAAAAAACTAGTGATTCTATGTGTCCTTAATAATAATTAGATTTGTGTTTGATTCACAGAAGGCAGTCAGACCTGGACCAGGATCTGTCTGTGGAGGGCTCTGCACCACCGGGCTACAGGACAAACTGGTAAGAACCATGGCAGCCATTATCTCGTCCATCTCCACAGACTCTGGGCTCCGGAAGCTGAAAAAAAGCAACAAACAGAAACATTTTTAAGCTTTAGCTGTGATGCTCTAAGCTACACCAGGTCTGCCTGACTTTTTCCTCCCCCACCTGTATGGAGCGTCTCCTCTGGCTGGCATATTGCTGGGGTGAGTGACGGCTCCCACGTTCTGCAGGGGAGCAGCAAAGTTCCCCCAGCCTGCGTTCTTGGCCCTGTGATGGTCTGGCGGAACGCAGCCCTGAGTGTGCACCTTCAGAGATGAGAAGGACACACACTTTACTCAAATATCAACGTCCTTCTCAGTGGATCAGGATAAATCATTGTGTTTAAGCCTGTTTAAAGCAGACTTTGATACTTTGCAGCTAAGCCTCACTGCTGCCATGAATAACACAGATAAGAGAATATTTCCTGTCCATCTGTGGCGTCCCGCCTGCTGATGGCAAAATCTGCCAGGTTCAGAGCCGGCCGTGTGCTACATTCCACACAGGAGGGAAAACACTGATCCTGTTTGTGGGAGTGCTCTGTTTTCCTCTAGTAAAGCTTTAACTTGGTCAATCTTTAACTACTGATTTGATCCATTTAAACTGTGAATGATATGGGAGTCTGAAGCAACAAATTCAACATCTGAATAATAAAACTCCAGCTTCTCACCAGAATCTGCTGTGAAGCAAACTCCTTGCTGCTAAGCGCCGTTGCTGACGTGCCGTCCTGCGGTCTCACACGGAAGGCCGCCGTCCCGCCTGCTGCCGTTCCAGCACCGTTCTCTGGTCCCATAGCTGCCATGGTGCTGCTGCACACAGTGAGGAGGACTCAGGAAGACACACCTGCCTACAGACAAGACAAATCAGACAAATGGTCACATTTTTACTTATGAACCCTTAAAATGCACTGTTTAGTTTGAAATTGCACAAAGTTTAATGTGGTTTTGCAGGAGTTCTATGAGCACAAACACAAGGCGAAACATAACATGTGAAGGAAAGGACAGTGATATCGTGTTTTGTTTTTTTTAACAAATAGAAATATGAACACTGCAA